TTTGTGCAAGACTTGATTGAGGGGGTTATGCGCTGCTAAGGGAGTATGGGTTGCAACATGGGGGGTTAGGAGGAAGCATCTTGTGACTGCAGAGCAAAAGGTCACATTTCTTAACATTAAGCTTAAGGCTTTGAGGCTGGGGTCTTTCATGATCTCTTCTCAATTTGTAGTTAGGTCTTGAAGTGCAATTTTTTTTTTCAGATGTGGGTATAAAACAGATGACTCTTAGAGCATACATATAGGCATGATAGTTTTGTTTACCTTAGAGCATCAGCAGATGTAAGGAAGTTGTATGGCAATTTAAATCTTACATCATTTTCTTGTGGAATGATCAGATATTTCACTGTGAATTCAGGACAGTTTTTGTTTGTTTGTTTGTTTGTTTGGTTTTGGTGCTGGGGATTGAACCCAGGGCTTTGTGCATAAGAGGAAGGCACTCTATCAACTGAGCTATATCCTTAGCCTTCAGGACAGTTTTAAAATTTTGAGCAGGATTTAAACTCATTTTCCTTGCAAAATAGTGAAATTTTTCTCTTACACATGAAAGGAAAGCAATCTTGAGGATATTTTCTAAGAAATGGCCCAAATTTGTATGAATCACTGATTCATAGTTTTGCCTTTTATTTCAGGTGTATATATCAAAGTAAAGTAAGCTAACTGTATTACTGAGGAAGGTAAATGCATGAACAAGACATTTTCTGGAGTAATATAAAACTAACTTGAAGATCATCCACAATTGGTGTTCAAGTAACACCTTTTAGAATCCTTGTTTAAGATCACTAGATCTATTTGCCATCTGCTCCTGTTATTTTAATGGTATGCATTCACATGTGGTCTATCAAATTTAATTGAGAGTAGAACACATTTTTTTTTCAATGTTTGGCTTGTTAGCAGAGTTGGTGTTTTGTATATTATATTTAAATAGAATAAAATTCTCAGGCTGTAAGAGATCTTCCAAATTTTGATCTTTGGAAAAATTATCACCTTTCAAAAGACTGTTTCTCAAACTTTCTCTAGGTTTACTGGAATCACGTAAAGTAAGTTTATAATAAAGGCAAATTCTGATGTCACCAATAAGAGAGTATATATTTAATATTTGTAAGCACTAGAGAAACTAGAGGAGATGCATTCTTTTAAGATTATTTTTGTAGTTGTAAATGAAGAGAATCCCTTTATTTATTTTTATTTTTATGTGATGCCATGTATCAAACCCAGTGCCTCACACATGCTAGGCAAGCGCTCTGCCTCTGAGCTACATACAGCCCCAGGCCCAGGAGAAGCATTCTTAACATTGCTGACAATAACTTGTAAGGGGTAAGCAAGACTGTTCAGCAGCACTGAAAAATATTAAAATTAACATTTTAACTTAACTTTGATAGTGTAGAAATTTACCTATTTAAAATTAGGTGTTATGAAATTCTCCTTGTAAACAATAAAGTCCTCCTATTTATTTTTTTGTCAGCTCAACAGTGTCTACTTCCAGTTTTGTCTGGATTGTTTGACAATCTTTATACATTTTATTTAAAGAAAGAACAGGATAAGGGCAAGATAAGTGATTCTTAGTTAAGTACCTTTTATTCTACCAGGAGATTAGGCATCAGAATCTAAAGTTTGGATCATAATTTCACTAAATTATGTCTGTGTTTTGATTGCTTAATCAATGTTGAAACTAAAACTTGGAGAAACTAATTATCCCGTGTAAATGAGAACAGGTTTTTTGAAAAATGGAGAAATTCACAATAATCATACTTAGGCTTTCTAATATCCCTTGTAAATAGTAACAGAAAATAAAATACATAAAAAAATTTCTGGAGAAAGGATTTTTATATTATATAAATCCACAGTGGGTGATTGACTGCCATCTCCTTATCTGGAAAGATGCCTGTTTTGCCTTGATGCCACATTATTTATAAAAAACTAAATAGCTAGACTGAGGCAAAAATATTTAAAAAGCCATATTACAAATAATGTACTTTGGAGATATCAGAGATAGCTAGGTACCAAATGTACTACATATTATATCATATGTTAACCAATTTATAGACACTTGAATAAAAATGGTTGCCCCCTACTTATTTATTTACTTGTTTATTTATTATTGAGTTCTATGATTTCTAGTTAGTTCTTCCCTGATTTTATAACATGCACATTTTAGTTTATAATGACTTCCTCTTCATTTACTTTTCTAATACTGGAAATTTGTTTTGTAAAATGTCATATCTTTTCCTGACTATATTTCCTTGCACCTTGTAGCTTTTGTTCTCCCTGTGCCTCCAGGAGTGATGATATCTTATTTCTATAAACATGCATTTGGAATATGGCAGATTATACTTGTCCAATTGAAAGGCTGGTGCTGCAAAACATGTTTTCAAAGCCAAGCAATTGGCACCACATGTTTATTCCTGTAACGACAATGATGTAGTTGACAGTGACTTCATGGTCTAAATGTTAGTTATGGTGGTAGTTCCTCCCACTGCTGTTATGTCTGATACATGGTGCCATCCTTATGAAACATAACTAAATAAGTTCTAGAAGATCTATTTTTTAATATATTTTACTATATTAACTCTCTGAACTGGAGTATTCACTGTTTTTCTTAATTGGTTCCTTCTATACAGAAACTAATATGCTTAACTTTGATGGGTATTTTAATTCTAAATTCATTCTAATAGCTAGACTTATTATTTAAAATTTATTTTCAAGATCACTTCTGTTTTATGCATGTTTATATAAAGGAATGTTATATATTATTTTCAGAAGTGATATAACACTTTCAGTGATTGTGACAAAATATTTAAAGAAATAAAAGTTATTAAGTTTTGTTGAAGTGCTGTAAGTTATACATAATTTCAAGGATAAGACTTGATGTCTCCACAAAAAAGAGGGAAAGTATGAAGTATTACTGAGATATTGAAAGAATAGGGCCAGGTTGAGACTTTCCCCTTTTAATATAATCAAATAAATTCAGCTAGAACTGAAAGTTTAACTTAATGTGTTATCCAAGGCGGTTATTTAATATGCAGTGTTCCCAATCCCTAAGTCTTCATGAGGGATTCAAGAAATATTATCCATCAATCACACAGCTCACAATTAAGATGATTTTTACAATAAATGAAAATATATTCCTTGATCATGTGTCTGTAGACAATTCAGAGAGCTGCTAGGGAAAGGGAACATTACCTAAATGAAAACACAATCATGACTAAAGAAGATAGTTAAAATTATAAAACAGTTTTTTTTATTATACTAAATTCTTCTTTCCTGATTATAAATGTTGTAAATGATTACAAGTAAACATTTTATTTTAGATAAATGTAAATTTTAAATCATCACATTTCAAAAACCAATAAATGTGTTCTTAGTATTACCAATATGACAGAATACTGGAAATATTTTTAAAAAACTATTAGAGAAATAAGTTATAAAATCCCAAGGAAAAAATATAATTAATAGATTGGTTTATTAATGAACTAACTTGTGTGATTTGTTAGACTGGATCCCAGGACTTGATGATAGTGTTTACATGATTGTGATCCTATTGCAAAGGCTTTTCTCCAAATTCATTTTGCCACAGGTACTCAGATGTTTGTACAAAGCATGAAATATATGGAAATTCAGAATATGGAAAGTATCAGAATTCATTCTCATGGGCCTTTCTTCTGACCATAACATAAAAATATTTTGTCTCGTCATCTTCTTATTTTGTTATCTTGTTGTCTTGGTGGGAAACCTTCTGATCTTCATCTCTATTGGATGCAGTTCTCTTTTTCACCAACCCATGTACTATTTCCTCAGTCACTTATCTTCTATGGACATCTGCTATACGTCCTGTGTGAAACCCAAACTGATTGGTGACCAGCTAGTGGGAAGAAACACCATCTCCTATGACTACTGCATGTTGCAGGTTTTACCATGCACTTCTTCGGACTAACTGAAATATTTATCCTGACAGCCATGGCCTTTGATCATTATGTTGCCATCTGCAAACCTCTGCACTATATGACCGTCATGAGAAGAACGAAGTGCAATTTCTTGATCTTGGCTGCTTGGGCTGGTGGAGCTGCCCACTCCTTTCCCCAGTTCTCTGTGATAATTAGGTTACCCTACTGTGGTCCCAATAAAATTGATCACTACTATTGTGACATTTTTCCTTTGCTGCAAGTTGCCTGTACTGACACCTACATCACTGGTCTTCTTATGGTTGCCAATTCAGGACTGATTGCATTTGTAGTATTTGTTCTCTTGTTTGGGTCTTATATCATTATTCTATTCACACTAAGAAATCACTCAGCAGAGGGGAGATGCAAAGCCCTCTCTACTTGTGGGTCTAATATCACTGTGGTTATCTTATTTTTTGGACCTTCTATATTTACCTACCTTAGACCTCCTACAACTTTCCCTGAGGACAAATTCTTTGCTCTGTTTTACACCATTATTGCTCCCATGTTCAATCCCCTCATCTACACCTTTCAGAACACAGAGATGAAAAAGGTCATGAGAAAAGTTTAGTGTCAAAAGGCATTTTTAGAAGAAAAATACAATTAATTTGTATTAGTTAATGTGCAACCAAATGTATGCAACTATAAACGTTTATTTGTATTCAAGGGGCACTATCGGTTTTCAAATTATTGAAGTCAAATCTTTTGTTGATAAATATCAAGAGATTAGAAACTGAAGCAATACCAATAAAAGGACAATTCCACGTGTAAGACTGAAATCAAGTAAGGAAATATATATATATATATATATATATATATATATATATATATATATATATACACACATACATATAGGTACACCTGCATGATATTCTGGTTTAAAGGAAGGGAGATTTTGTCATATAATCAATTCTGTTATCATTCTTTATATTTTGAGGTTAAAAACGTTTTCAGAAATTAAAATAATTCTTATTATTAGTTTATTATCCGATGCAATGCCAATGCAATATTCCATGATGACATTCTAAAATCAATTATGTGATGAAATATCCCAGAGAATTTCATATGAAATGTAAATAAAAAGCAGTGGTTTTGTCTTTCTCTTAAGTTATAGTGCCTCTACTACAACCAAATATCATAAGTAGGGAAACATTTTAAAGAGTTAAATTTAACACACATTAGAGATACATGCATATTCATGTTTATTCCATAACAATTGTCACTAGCCAAACTATGGAACCAGCCTAGGTGTCCATAAATTGATGAATGCCTAAAGAACATATGGTATATATGTACAATGGAGTCTTACTGAACCATAAAGAAGAAAAAAATGTGTGATATTCAGGAAAACAGATGGAATTAAAGACCATAATTTTGAGCAAAATGTGCCAGACTCAGGAGAAAATTATTATGTGTTCTTTCATATGTGTAGGCTGGAGGGAAAAAACTGGAAGGAAAGTACTGCAAGAATATATGTGTGACTAGTATGGTGGAGTGAGGGGATTAGAAGAGGAAGGTAAAGATTATGGGGGCAATAAATGAGCTTGAAATTTGATTTAATTTTGTTTTATATATCTGTTAACATATATAATGAAAACCATCATTCTGTATAATTGAGATGCACCAATGTGAAAAAAAAATTAGACCGATGAACAGTAATTTTTACTTTATGTTGTTTATTAAATTAAATGTAGTTGAATATAGAAGGACAAGATGAATAATTAATAGATATTATCCCTTTTCAGGAGAGCTGCATTATTGAGTGGCTCTAAGACTCTTTATTTGGGGGAAGACTGCATGTTAGCTTGTCCTTATGCAGACAGAAGAGATAAGAGAAATGGATTCAATTGCCATTGTAGAGAAATAAAGAGAAATGATATCAAATAATTTTTTCTGGAGCATAATTCTTTTTGTATGTATTTTTTCTCTCCTTTATATCTTAGAAAACCAATAACAAAAACACTTGTATATGATACAGTAAAAACCTGCCAATATGAATAAGGAGGAAACATAACAATTGTAAGTATTGTGAAAGGTGGACTTCGGAGATTTCCAAAAGAACCACAGAAAAAGTAAAAATAATTTTTAAACTATCATAGAGAAAATATCTCTAAGCGAAATAGGAGAAGGTAAATAATCAAAATATTAACAATTTATTTTTAAAATGTGATGATTATTTTATCATTTAAATGCAGTAAAATTTCAAAATATGAACAGTAATACAGTTCAGAAGGAGAGGAAATGGAAGAAATATGATATGGAAGGCACACTGTACCAATTTATATTGGAAATAATTATATAAATTATATTTTTTCATAAATTTTAAATAAAAATTTATATTTTCCAGATTGAATTATTCTCTAATACCAAATAGTAGAAGACAATATAACAATACCTACAAGTTACAGGATAAAAAGGATGACAGCAAAAAGTATTATTCTTAGTCTTTGTCTTATCTTTTATGAATTCAGAAAATGACACCTTCATACTCATTTGACTTCATAATTTACCTACCTCCATGTTCTTTTCCATCAAAAATTCTCCGTATGTTTCTCCTAAAAGCAGTTTCAAAATATCATATATGATGAATCACTGTAAAATCTTAGGGGTCAGTCAAAACGCAGATGAATGAAACATTTCTTATTCATCATTAAAGGCCAATGTTTTGTGGGGAGAGGAATACTGGAAATTGAACTCAGGGGCACTCAACCACTGGGGCCCCATCCCCAGCCCTATTTTTTATTTTATTTATTTAGAAACAAGGTATCACTGAGTTTCTTAGTGCCTCACTTTTACTGAAGCTGGCTTTTAACTTGGGATCCTCCTACCTCAGCCTCCTGAGCTGCTGGGATTTCTAGGCATTTACCACCACACCTGACCCAAAGGCCACATCTTAAAGCACTGATAAAGACAAAAAAAGAGCAATGACTCAATCATTAAACCTTGATATTACCTTTATTGCTGTCCAGATCTGTTTATACTTAACTGATTCAAAATATATTTAATGAACACACCCAACTGGGCTTTTTTAAATACAGCATCCTTTGTGAAGAGAAGGGTCTTCTCTTCTCAGAATACTCTTTCATGCAGTTTGATGAGTTAATATTTTGAGTCAAAACTGACTTAAGTATTTATTGATCACAAAAATTCTACTATAACTTATGAAACTTTTCTGGTGAAACAAGTCACAAAAGAGCCTTTAATCTTTACATTGATTTTACAAACAAATTGTAAAACATAAATTGCTCATTTTTTAATCATATCTCTTACTTGTAGAGATATACTATTCATAAATTTCATTGAATTTTTGTTAAGTTTTTGTACAGCACCCTAAAAATCATGGTTTTGTTGGATGTTTTCCACTACTAACTTAATAAACAATGCAAAATACTGAAATTAATTAAAATTTAGAAATAAGAAATTTATTATATGAAGTTACAAATTACATGCAATACTCAAATATATAAATTTTGACGATTAAAGTTCATCCTAACATATTCTTAATTGCTGCATGTAATTAACATTGCAAATAAAAGAACAATTATTTTTTAAATTTTTTCTTATTCTTTCAAGAGTTAGTGATATATTATTTTTTTTAAATTGCTTAGAAAATGTATGTACAGCAGGGCATGGTAGTACACACCTGTAATCTCAACAGCTTGGGAGGCTAAGCCAGGATGATTCAGAGTTCAAAGCCAGCCTCAGCAAAACGAGACGCTAAGCAACTCAGTGAAACCCTGTCTCTAAATAAAATGCAAAATAGGACTGGTGATATGGCTTGGTGGTTGAATGCCCCTGAGTTCTATCCCCTGTACCACCACCCTACCATCACCACCACTAGCCAAAAAAAAAAAAAAAATGTATACTTGGAAATGATCTTGTTTGTTCAAGGTGTGGAGATACACCTTAATGATGTATTTACTTACAAAATATGTTATGTACACTAATATTTTAACTTTTTTGTGGAAGGCAGAATATATGCGTATGTTGATGCTCTCTTTGGAGGAAAGAATCCACTGATGTGAATGTTTTTCTTGGGTCAGAAAGTGAGTCTGGACAGCGATGGGTACAGGAGTCCCAGATCAGAGACTCAGGAAAGTCTATGAAGTTAGGGGAGCAAAGAGTGCAGAGGAGATGCCAGAAAAGTTTGTCTTCTGTGTTAAGAAGAGAAATAGCTGTGGAAACACTACCTAGGCTAGAGCAGGCATTTAATGTATGATAAAATTAAAACAGGCTTCCTTCAGAGTGTAGGAAGTCCAAAGGAAAAACCTCTAGAGTTGCTTTCAAATTATGTCTTTGGAGGCCAATCGACCATTAGTTCCTCAGTAGCTTTGTACCTTGAGTATTTTAGGACCTCTTGCCTTTTATTTCACATTATCAAATGGTTAAATTTATTATGTAAAGAAACTTGTAAAAGAAGTTGAAGAAGGAATAAAGAAAAAGGAGTGGAAGAGGAGGAAAAATAATTACAAAGGCAGTATCCCTATAATCTCCTTAAAAATTAAGACAGAGATGCCTGCCATGGTCTCCAAAGTCACAACATGTCCTCTTGTGGCCTCACCCCTTCTCTTCCCCCAGAATTAACTGTTTTCCTGACTATTGGTGCTAAACCCTTCCCTGCCTCCCAAGGCAATGCATGTGTTTTATGTTAACAGGGATTTCTGCTGGTAAAATAAGAAACAAGAGTCTGCCTCATCAGGTCAGTGGGAAGATGGCCTGAGAATGCTTGGTTCCCTGGGCAAAGTCAGTGTTCAGCATGCATTTTCTGTGGTTTTTTCTGCTCACATAGCCCATGAGAAGTCAACTTTAACTTTAGACATAGATGTTCAAGATGGAAAAGAGAAAGAAAACAAAATTATACGGGGAAAATTAAAATATTTTTAACTTTTTTCAACTAATTTGGAAGAAAGATTTCTAAATTGTTATGATATGAAACAATACTAATATTTGTTATTTTTAATTTTTTGGCATTCTGTTTCTTATCAGAAAACTAAAACAGTTTCTAATTCCCTCAGAAATATAATAAATGCACTTTTTGAGGAAATGAAGCACATTACCTATCATAACAGGCAGCAATATACCTCTCTGATCAGTCAACTCATAGGGATTACTGAATGAATACATTCTTTAAAAAAAATCCCATCGTATTTGTTTTCATCAGTGAATTTGTCATGTAAAGTGCGAGGGAACTCAGTCACTGGGGCCCTAGAGGAGGTTAACAGCAGAGATTCTTAAACTGTTGTTAAAGTTAACTGGCTTTTCATAGTATTTATTATCTGGATCCTAGTCTAATTTCAAAGTTTGCTAACTTGTTTCTAGAGGAAATGAACCTGATGAATCTACAATCTGGGGAAGCAAATCCAAAGGACATAGAAGGAATAAATCAATGCTTCAGAATATACACAAACAAAATGCAGCTTAACAAAGTTTGCTTCACTAAACATTCAGTATCCTTCGAATCTGAACATATTCTATAATAAATTTAGCTATACATTCTGAGGTAGATTGTAATTTGACTCCTTTGGGTTTTTAAATTATCCCACTTGCCTTCAAACTCTTGTTCTTATCACA